TCCCTGCTCCGCGGGGAGCCTGCTTCTCCCTCTGCCTCTGTCTCTGTCTCTCTCTGTCTCTCATGAATAAATAAAATCTTTAAAAAAAAAAAAAAAAGACACTGACTTTTGAAGAGACCAGGCCAGTTGTCTTGGTGGAAGCCCCCCCAGTCTGGATTTCTGTTTTCTCCACAGAAGCTGCTCTCTCTCTCTCTCTCGTATTTTCTGTAAACTAAACAGTACTATGAAGGACTCTGGCAAGAGCCTGCCACAGTGCGATGTGCGGACCCCACGCCGCACCTCAGCAAGAGCCACACGATGTCACCACTGCTGATGGTGCTGTGTTTTATCACTGGTGAAAGGGGGCACTTAATCATTCCATTGTGAAGGCATACCTTTCCCAGGGCCAGTGAGGAAGGTATCTGTAGGAGGGTCTCTGGCCCTGCACACATACCCTGTTTCCTTTGCACCTACTCATCCTGGCATCCATTGACGGTCTTTGCCTAGATGCCCTAGGGGTTGCAAATTAGCGATTTTTCAAATTCTATCATTCCTACATTTATTAGCTGACACTTTTCTAGAACAGTCAGCCTTCTCACAACTGCTTTTACTAAAAGGGCAGGGTTAAAATGCTTTCCTTCTAATTACAGAATAAGGAGCTTGTGTAAGATTCCCCTATAACGGTGGAAATAATCTCAAGCCCCTTTCTCTGTATTGATGTGGACACAGATTTTTGTTTATTCAAATGTTGTAGAATCAGTTACAGTTGTTCTGTTGGACCGTCAAAGTACCTCAAATTTGGCCAGGGAGAAGCCCTGCAAGGTAGCTTCTGGGACCATTGACACATCCCCATTAATCTGAGTACTACTTTGCTTTTTGACACAAGAGGTCCCAGCCTGGGGCGCCTGGGTGGCTCAGTCGCTAAGCGGCTGCCTTTAGCTCAGGTCGTGATTCCAGGGTCCTGGGATCGAGCCCCACATCAGGCTCCCTGCTTGGCAGGAAGCCTGCTTCTTCCTCTCTCACTCCCCCTGCTTGTGTTCCCTCTCTAGCGGTCTCTCTGTGTCAAATAAATAAATAAAATCTTTAAAAACAAAAAAAAGAGGTCCCAGCCTCACCCGGGACACCTCAGGCCCGGACCTAGAACCAGCTGTTTCTCCAGGGAGTCCTGGTTCCTCGAGAGGGAAATGCTAGCACCAAATCTGCTCATCTGTGGGGGCTGCCCCTGCTTCCAGGCCCATGGTGGACAGAGCTCAGAGATACATACACTTTTTAAAAATAATGACTGATACTTTCAGTTCATATTTCTTATTATGGAGAGTTTTACATAAATTCTTTCATTTTTATGGTCATCTTTTAAAGTAGGAAGTTTGGCTCCTGGTAACTTTAAGTTTCTTTTTGCCTTATAATATACATAAACTAGATCCAAAATAACACCAGTATTAACAAAAAATAAGTGATGTTTATTTCTTGCAGATCTTCGTCCTTAAACATATCCCATTAAGGATATATAGTCATAATTCTGCATTCAGAAGTTTCTTGTAAGAATTATTTTCTCTGTGTGGTTGCCAATTTGATATAAAGTTGATTTCTCTGTTTTCAATTTCAGAATGCTTTTATTTTCTATTTTTGAATGTATAATTTACATTTGTTCAAAAGTCAAAATTCATAAAAAGGTATAAGAAACCTTGCTTCCATCCCTGACTCCACCCTGTTCACTCCTGCCTCCATAGGAATTCATTTTTATATCATAGTTTATCCTTCTAGTATTTCTCTTTGCAAAAAATAAGCAATTGTGTATCTTACTTCCTCTCAACTCTTACACCGAAGGTAGCATGCTGTACGGTGGAGCGTACTTTGCGTTCCTCACTTAACAGCATGTTGGGGTATAGTATTTCAGATTTGTCAAATGTATCCCTTATAACGCATACTGTACTACAAACATACAAAAACACACTGGGGGCATTTAGTGTGAGAAATCTGTCATGGTAATTATTAAGCTATGGGGAGGTACTTCCTACTGACACCTACTTCAACACCCGCTACATAAACCAAACGCACACGTGTGTATGCTGTGTACAACATACCGAAGCCTTGCTCACTCAGGGGCGCCTCAGGCACCCGGTGCTACGAGCTACAGCCACCACCGCGTTCTTCCCAAGGCCTCATAATCCCACAATGGGCACCGTTAGCATCTGATGCATCTTATGCCACATCTTCAAAATCTGGTACCACATCCAAATCGTGACTTCTAGTGTTATTTCTAGAGAAAACTTATCCACATTTCCCAAATTGATAGATTTCCCCTCAAGATTAATTCCTTTCTTACACAGTTTGATTTTTTTTCCTCAAAAGCTTTCATGCATGTTAGACACTGATATAGTTCCACTCCAATATCAATTACCTGATGGTCAGTAAGTTGTGACTCTGTAAATGCCTTTATTCTTCTGTGGCATTCTTTGTGATTTGAACCCTGTGACTGCTTCCTCTGAGACACCTATTAGATTCATAGGTGGATACTAACATACAGGACGTTCTCAGGGCTCTCTCCATGTGAGTTCTCTGATATTTCATAAGGTATGACACAGAAACCTTCCCAATATCCATTCCAGAGCGAGCCCACCAACCCCCACCCGATGTGTGTCTTCTGATGCCAATTAAAGACTGAATCTCCACAAGAGGAGGTCTCCACATTATTACAGTCCCAAGGTTTCTCCCATGGGGTCTCTTGGCGTTGATGAAACTCGACTTCACGCAGGAGGGTTTTCCACATTTGCTGCACCTTAGGGCATCTCTCTTGTGTGAATTACCTGGTGTTTTGTGAGCGTCGACTTCTTGCAGAAGGACTTCCCACATTCGTTACATTCATAGGGCTTCTCCCCTGTGTGTGTGCGCTGATGAACCGTGAGGGTCGACTTCATACAGAAGGATTTCCCACATCGCTTACATTCATAGGGCTTCTCCCCTGTGTGAGTCCTCTGATGATTAATGAGGTTTGACTTCACATAAAAAGTCTTCCCACATTCCTTACATTCAAAGGGGTTCTTCCCTGTGTGAGTTCTCTGATGTACAGTGAGGTGTGATTTCATACAGAAAGATTTCTCACATTCATTGCATTTATATGGTTTCTCTTCTGTGTGAGTTCTCTGATGTATGGTTAAGGCTGACTTATAACAGAAAGATTTCCCACATTTGTTACATTCATGGGGCTTCTCCCCAGTGTGTGTTCTCTGGTGTTCAATGAGGTGTGACTTCTGGAAGAAGGTTTTTTTACATTCCTTACATTCATAGGGTTTCTCCCCTGTGTGTGTGCGCTGATGTTTAGTGAGGTGGGACTTCTGGAAGAAGGTTTTCTCACATGCTTTACATTCAAAAGGTTTTTCCCCAGTGTGTATTCTCTGGTGTTGACTGAGGGCTGACTTCATATAGAAGGATTTCCCACATTCATTACATTTATAGGGTTTCTCCCCTGTGTGAGTTCTCTGGTGTACCGTTAAAGTTGACTTATGGCGAAAGGTCTTCTGACATTCGTTACATTCGTAGGGTTTCTCTTCTGAATGTGTCCTCTGATGATCAGTGAGATTGGACTTCATAGAAAAGGCTTTCCCACATTCACTACATACATGGGGTTTCTTTCCCGTGTGATTTCTCTGATGAATATTAAGAAGTGACTTCACATAGAATGACTTTTCACATTCATTACATTTAAAGGGTTTCTCTCCAGTGTGTGTTCTCTGGTGTATGATCAGGGTGGATTTCATATGGAAGGCCTTCCCACATTCATTACACTCATGTGGTTTCTCCCCTGTGTGAGTTTTCTGGTGTTTAGTGAGGGCTGATTTTTTATAGAAGGACTTCTCACATTCATTGCATCCATAGGGTTTCTCCCCCGTGTGGGTTCTCTGATGTACTATTAGGATCGAATTCATAGAGAAGGCTTTGCCACACTCATTGCATTCATAAGGTTTCAAACCAGTGTGAATTTTCTGATGTTTAGTGAGGTTTGACTTCACACAGAAGGTTTTCCCACATTCACTACAGTCATAGGGTTTCTTCCCTGTGTGAGACACTTGATGGATAATTAGGGCTGATTTATAGCAGAAGGATTTCCCACAATCTGTGCATTTATAGGGTTTCTCTTCTGTATGCTTCCCCTGATGTACGTGCAGGGCTGACTTATAGTAGAAGGACTTCCCACACTCATTACATACATAGGGTCTCTCCCCTGTATGTGTTCTCTGATGGTCAGCAAACTGTGACTTCTGTAAGAAAGTCTTCCCACACTCATTACATTTGAAAGGTTTCTCACCTGTGTGTGTTTTCTGATGTTTAGTTAAGTTCGATTTCACACAGAAGGATTTCCCACATTCCATACATTCATATGGTTTCTCCCCAGTGTGAGTCCTCTGATGATGATTGAAGTTTGATTTTGCATAGAAGGATTTCCCACACTCGGTGCATTGATAGGGCTTCTCTCCTGTATGAATTCTCTGATGGACTTTGAGGGCTGAGCTATGACGAAAAGACTTCTTGCACTCGTTACACACATAAAGCTTCCCTTCTGACCGTGTTCTCTGCTGATCAGTAAGGGCTGACTGCACGGGGACTTGATCGCATTCACTGGGTTTCTCTCCTGCGTGAGATCTTGGAGGGTCCGGGGGTTGTGATTTATGAAGGGTTTTCCCAGATTTATGACTTCCACAGGGCTTCTCTCTTGTGTGTGTCTTCTGGTGCTGAGTCAGGTGGGACTCCTGGTAAAAAGATTTCCTGCAGTGACTACATTCAAAGGTTTTCTCTTCTGTGTGAGGAGGTTGAGTGACATGGGACTTCTTGCTGAAATTATTCTCATTTTCATTAGATTCCACGTTGACTTTCTGGTGTTTTATGAGGGTTGACTTCAGGCACTCATTGACCTCACAGTGATTCTTCCTTGTATGAGTTTCCTGAAGGACTTCGGGGGCTGACTCGTCACTGGTATTTCCCCCCTGTTCCTTATAATCGCAGGATTTCTCTTCTGTTTGAACCCTCGTAGGTGTAAGGATGGCTGCCTTGTTAAGGAAGGTTTCTCCACATTCATTATCTTCAGAAAGTGGTCCCAAAGTTTGAATTTTCTGTTGCTTAGTACGGTCCTCAGTATGACCCGGGGGTTTCCCATCTTTGTCATGTTCGTCAGATTTCTTTCCAGTATGAGTATTTCCTTGGTTATTATCAGAGAGCAACTTCCCGCATACATTAATTTCATCAGAGTTCTTACTTGAATGATTGTTATCACTAATAATTGATTCTGAAACATTTTTCAAACTCTTTCCACGTGAGTCATCTTGACAGGGTGTTTCTCTGAAATCATTCTCTCTCTTCTTAGTCAGTGATTTTTTGTTGATGAGTGAAACTCGCCACAAATGTTTGTCTTGGTTTTCCTGGCTTTTGTCTATAAGGTCATAAATAAGAAAAATTAAGTGTACTTTAAAAATGTTAACACATTTCCTATGATTACCAAGATCAAGATAATTAAAACATCTATCACCATACTTAGTTAGCCCAGGTAAATTGTGTGTGGTTAGAATGAGCAACATCTACTCTCAACAACTTTCCACTGTACTTACTGTACTATTAACTACAGTCACCTTGCTGTGCATCACATTCCTAGAACTTGAAGTAAGTCATTTTTAAGACGAGGAAAAAAAATCAAGCTAATCTTAGACATCCATAATAAATTCAGTGTTAAAATTAGCAGTGGAGAAAGAATTACAAAATCCTTAAAGACTAAAAGTAAATCCCAATAATTTTATATGTAGACAAAATGGCACTCAGTTGAAGTAACACCGATAAGTCTGAATATGCAAGAATGCAGGGAAGTATTGTTCTCATGAATTCTTAAAGAATTCATGCTAGCAGGGGTGCCTGGGTGGCTCAGTTGGTTAAGCGACTGCCTTCGGCTCAGGTCATGATCCTGGAGTCCCAGGATTGAGTCCCGCATCGGGCTCCCTGCT